CTCCCCTGAGACTCGGCAGCCGCGATCGCCGGTCGGCTCTGGGTCAGGAGCAGGCCGGAGCAGGTGCGCAGGCCCTGCTTAGCCATAAGGTGGAGGCTAAGACCCGGCTCAGATTCACCGAGGTTTCACGCCCGGTGCCTCTGCTTACCTCCTGTGGGCCTTCTGGAGTTGACTTGCCGTCTCTGCGCTTTGGCTTCCCTCGTCTGTAAAACGGAGCTTCTTTCATAGGGTGGCGTGAGGGGTCAGTGAGATAATGCGTGACTAGCCCTCCGCTCGGCACCCGGCACGCCATAGTTGCCCAATAAATGCTTATTGTTGGCATAAGGAGGATGTCTGCACGCCTAAGCCCTCCACTCCTCCTGCCAGCCCCAAGCATGCACCCACTGCCACCAAGGCCCAGTGGTCACCCACTCTGGCCCACAGCCCAAGTTCCCCTTGAGATGCTCGGACTGCTGGTCCTTGTAGTGGGGTCCCTGCTGGACAGGCCAGAAGAGGTAGGCCAGAGAGGGGAACGGCATTGTGGCTGAATATCAAGGTGAGGTGGGAAGAGGTGGCCGCCCACAAGGCGATAAATTAGGCCACCTGACAGTTCTGTTTTTCAAAGAACGGGCTTCAGAACTGCCGCACTGATCTGGGCTGGGAGGGATGGCTGTGTGCTTGTCAATCATTTATATCCCAAACACACAGGTTTTGGAGTCAAGGGTCAGAGGCCACGGAGGTGTAATACTTTAGAGCCATGGGGTTCACAAACTGAAGCCCTAAGGCTGTCACTTGCTCACGGGGTGACTTTGGGCGAGGGACTGCACCTCTCTGAGCCTCAGTTTCCTCATCTGGAGACTGGTGGGAAAACAACATCGGCTCCTCATGCTGCTCTTGCAGCCAGCAGGAGATAACATGCGTGAGTTGCTTAGTGCTTGGTACAGGGCCCCGGCACACAGCAAGTGCCCGATAAATGCTGGGTGGCGGTGGCATTACTTTTCTGTCATCATGCCCTGGAGGTGGCACCAATTCTTCCAGCCTGACTCTCCCTGTTAGACCACTACCTTGCCCCCACCCCCGGTCTCTCTAGTGAATTAAAGCTGTGGGAAGTCCCCAAGCTAACCTCCCGATGACGGAAGCCATGCCATGTCCTGCACAGGTGCGTCTCCTTATCTCATCTCGACAACTCTGGGCTCCTTTGCAGATCCTGCCCTCTGCCTACTGTGGACATGTGCAGGGGGCCCACCCCTGAGTCCAGATGACACTCATGCCGATGGCTTCAGTGATGGCGGTGACTGAACCGAAATGGGTCTTGGTGGCAGGCCGCTTCCTGTGGGTGGCACTGCTGAGTATGGCGCTGACATCCCTGCTGGCCCTGCTGTTGCCACTGGGAGCCATGGAGGAGCAGTGCTTGGCCATGCTCAAAGGCTTCTACCTGCTCAGGAGCAAACTGGACGGGACACAGCAGGCCATTGCCATTAAGAGCCCATCCACAGAGCTCAGTGTCACTTCCAGGGATGCGACACTGCTGGTGGTCAAGACCAAGGCCTTTCCAGGTAAGACATCTGGCCACCTCTCCGCAACGCTTTTGACGGACATTTATAGAACCTCTGTTGTGTCCTGTGTGCAGGGCACATGGGCATTAAACAAGTCAACCCTGAGTTCCCAGCCCAGACAAGATGCTGGGTGACTGAGGCAGTGTCAGAAGTGTAGTGTTGGGAAGCACAAAGGACTGTAGGAACACACCAGGAATGTGATGGAGGAGGTGATGGTATGAGGGGAAGAGAGTGCCTGGGGGCAGTTGAGGAACTGAAAGAAGTTGGGTGACCAGGCTAGGATAGGAGGGCTGGAGCGGAGCAGGGGCTCCACCTCCACGGGTGGGTGGCTGGCATGTGCACTGTCGGATGGTGACAGCATCTCTGACCTCTGCCTGTAGGATGCCAGTAGCGCCACCACCTCACCAACCACAGACCTCGCCAGAAGTCCCCTGGGGCACAATCAAACCACTGGGTATAAAGAATGAAACAGGCCAGGGATGGTGAAGCCCCCAGGGACTAGCAAGAGTAGAGAGCCATTAACACCTCTATGCCTGAAAGGGCAGGACCAGCATCACGGAGGCCAGAGGAACTGGAGATGTGGGAGGGCTACCTGGTGGGAGCTGTGGCCGGAGGGGAAGGCACAGCAGAGGGCCTGGTAGAGTCAACACCCAGGCCTTCCTATGTGTCAGAAGGCAAGGGACAGGGGAGGACGGGTGTCACCTCTCGGTACAGAGAATGGCTCTAGGGACACATAGACAGTGACCAGCAAAGCACCCGTGGGGCTGTGGGAGGAGTGGCACGGGGCATGTTGAGCACATACTACACAGCTGGAATGAGTCCCAAGGCCAGGGATCCTGGCTGGTCAACATGGCTCCCCGGGAGATCCATGCAGGTATCAGCTCCCCTGACATCCTCTACCATCCTGGCCTCCCTGACAGTGCTCCCTGGGCTCTCTTCTAGCAGGTAAACTGGAAGCCAAGGCAGCCCTGAACCAGGCCCTGGAGATGAAGCGCCAGGGCAAGCGGGAGAAAGCCCAGAAGCTCTTCCTGCATGCCCTCAAGATGGATCCGGACTTCGTGGATGCGCTCAATGAGTTTGGCATCTTCTCGGAGGAAGACAAGGACATCATCCAGGCAGACTACCTGTACACCAGAGCACTGACCATCTCACCCTACCACGAGAAAGCGCTGGTCAACCGGGACCGGACGCTGCCGCTGGTGGAGGAGATCGACCAGAGGTACTTCAGCATCATCGACAGCAAAGTGAAAAAGGTCATGTCCATCCCCAAGGGAAACTCGGCGCTGCGCAGGGTCATGGAAGAGACCTACTACCACCACATCTACCACACGGTGGCCATTGAGGGCAACACTCTCACTCTGTCAGAAATCAGGCACATCCTGGAGACCCGCTATGCTGTGCCTGGGAAGAGCCTGGAGGAGCAGAACGAGGTCATCGGCATGCACGCGGCCATGAAGTACATCAACGCCACCCTAGTGTCCCGGATTGGCTCTGTCACCATCAGCGATGTGCTGGAGATCCACAGGCGGGTGCTGGGATATGTGAACCCGGTGGAAGCCGGCAGGTTTCGGACGACACAGGTCCTGGTCGGACACCACATCCCTCCCCATCCGCAGGATGTGGAGAAGCAGATGCAGGAGTTCGTCCAGTGGCTCAACTCCGAGGATGCCATGAACCTGCACCCAGTGGAGTTTGCAGCCTTGGCCCATTATAAACTTGTCTATATCCACCCTTTCATTGACGGCAATGGGAGGACCTCCCGCCTGCTCATGAACCTCATCCTGATGCAGGCAGGCTACCCGCCCATCACCATCCGCAAGGAGCAGAGATCCGAGTACTATCATGTGCTGGAAGTTGCCAACGAGGGCGACGTGCGGCCTTTCATTCGCTTCATTGCCAAGTGCACTGAGACCACCCTGGACACCCTGCTTTTTGCCACGACGGAGTATGCAGTGGCGCTGCCAGAAGCCAAACCTAACCATTCTGGGTTCAAGGAAACGCTTCCTGTGAAACCCTAACCCTGTAAATCCTCCCTTGGTGGCCTGGGATGTCTTGAGGGGGGTAAAAAAAAAAAACTCAAAGAAACTTAGCATTTCTAGAAACCTAGTCGTTTCCCAAAGCAACAAGAGACCTTAAATATCCTTTACCTTGTTTTGTTTTGTTAGAAAACTAAATTATTAAGCCTTGTCTGTAAAATAACTTATAATTCAGCCAAGTTATTTATTTTTCTTCTTTTGAGCAAGCTAGTAAATGTGTGATGTTCACTGTATCTGCTGGTGACCACTCTCCGGGTAGTGGTCCCACCATCCATGCTCCTGTGTGGCCAGAACACAGGTTCTAGAGCAGAATTTGCACTAAGGCGGACAAGAGGGGCCCGAGCTGTAGGACAAGGCTCATCAGAGCCCTGAATAGCTCTGCCGAGTCTTGCTCTGAAGCTGGCTGAGAGCTGCTGTGAGTCTAATTGGGAAATCAGTACTCCAGGGGAGATCCTGGTCCTGGCTGTGAGAAATGACTGGAAGCTTGTTTTCTCAGAGGTTTCTGTTCCAATGCAGAGATCTGTGTGGTGAGTAACTTTTACAGCAGATGTCTGAGCTATGAAATGAATGTTGCCATTTCTAGTTAGACACTTTGCTTATTTCCAGGAAGAATCTTTGAGCCACCTTAGTGCCAGAACTGTTATTTTTCCGTATCGAGACTATTTTTCTAGTTAAGAGTAGGGGGTGACCAACTTGGTTTTCTTTGTGTTCTGATGTTTCTCTTGTACTTCATTTGCAGCAACCCAGACCAGACATTTTAGTCAAAAAGTTCTCTAGGTTTGACGCCCAGCAACTCTGTCATGTTGCAAATCAGGTGTTATACGAGTGGGCAGGTCTGCCCCCCGACTCTTGAGTTTTCTATAGGTAGATATTAAAGAACACATATGAGAAAACAGATGCCACACCAATGTCAAGTAAGCATTTGTGATCATTAATTAGAACACCAGTTTCTACTGAACCAAGTAAAACCCTTGACCACGGCCAGGCTGTGTCGCTTTTGTCATGCCATTTCATCCACTTGCTGTCCCCACCTTCCACAGTCATGGTACTGCCCGCCGAGCATCCCCATGGGGAGGCAGAAGAGATTGCCTCAGAGTGGCCTTAATTTTTTCTAGCAACTTATGAAATGATACAATGTTATATGTTATATGGCCAAGTTTCCACATTGTCATCTTTTAGAAGTAGAAAGAATCGTCTCTTGCAATCATATGGCACAGATGCCAATACTACTGCTGCTATTTGGAGTCAGAACAGCTGGCAGTCCTAGGTCCCCTCCCCAGGGCCAGGGCCAGAGCCTGTGATGTCTAACCCTGTGCTGCACTTTGTCAGTGTTTGAGTGATGGTGAATATCAAGTGTTGTCTCTGATCTGAGGGTTCAGTTCCTGATAGCCATGAGGTCACTATGCTGATGCAGTATTTATACAGGTATTCAGTTGTATAACTAGCACAGAGTAGTGTTCTGAAAGACTGAGAAAAATAAAAGATATATGAGATGGCTCTAAGTGAGTTATTCAAACCTTTCTAAAAAAAAAAAAGTTCTCATACTCTTATGCTGCCAGAAGGTATTTGTTAAACTTTAACTCTTCTCCTGTCTTGGTTTTATAAGCACACCAAGGAAGTCTGACAGAAGTGTTTGCTTTGTATGACAGAGTGAGAGGATTTGCACTTTAGCTGTACGTGAAGGATATTTTAACAAATTACTGATTCTAATAAAGTATTTTATTACATAAGTGTCTGCGACTCTGCTGTCCATATGAGAGAGACTCCCATTGGTCATAATGGTGTCAGGGATTCTTTGTACTGTTCTGAAAGAAGAATGGATTCAAGATGGTGACTTCAACATGCAAACAAGACAGAACTAGAGAAGCTAGAACTGGAGGAGCTGTCCACCTAGGGGGGCAGGGATGAATTACTGATTACTGTTTGCTAAGACTCAAGTAACTGAAATGTTTTTTCACATTTCTGTTTACCATCAGTTCTGGATTTCCTGGGAAGGACATATAAGCCCATTCACATGTTCTTGGAAATCCTAAATTCCAATAGAAGTGACTGTTCTAGAAAATAGATTTCTACTTTCTAGAACAGTCAACACCCTGAACCTAACTTGGGTCCTGCTCAAGTCTGAAAAATTCACCTCTAACAAGCCTGATCTCTAACAAGATCTGAGAAAATGAAGTAAGGTCAGAGTACTGGCCAAAGAAGAGAGAGTCAAACAGTTCAAGTGAAGCAGCAAAAAGTAAAGCCACCTTCCTCTGAAGGGAGGAAATAATCATGGCTCTTCAGTGTGAGGTCCCCAGCCCTGGGGGCTCCCTCTGGGCTCCCAAATCAATTCACCACCGGAGGGCTTCCAAGTGGCATCAGAGAGGAGGAAAGATGTTACAGCAAAGGCTCTTATTGCTGTCAATGGCCACTGCTTGAAATTAATTCTGAAGTAATACCCAGTAAAAACATGTTTTGTATAAAAAAGACAGCAGTGAAGGGGAGCCTATATTTTAAAAAACTTAAAAAAGCTGACCAAACAATAACTTAAAGGGAGAAAAATGGACATTTATTGGACAACAGGAAACAAAATTTGACTAGATAGACAAAGACATTAAGGTATTATTGCTACAAAGGGGTGATAAAAACCATGGCCTCTAAGTCCTACTCCGAGATATCTTCACTTGGTGAGCACAATGCTATCTGGGACATGCCTCTGAAGAGAGAAAAGAGGCGGGGAAGGCAGAAATTAGGAAGAAGGGTCATGTGCTGAGGCTTGCCGAACGCTCGGTGGCAGGCACACAGTTCACTATGCTGTTCCATACACTTTGTTGGTTTAAAGTTTTCTGTTAAAAATGTGTCAAAAACCTGACTGATGCACAAAAACTTAAGCTTACAAGCCAGGTAAATGAGGAGTTGGTTCCCATACCAAATAAAAGGAATCCCTGATGTCTTACTCTGGAGTGTCTTTATAAAGTAAGCTTCTCCTGCTCAACTGGCAAGTCTGCTTTCTAAGCAATAAATATTTAATACAAGATGAGAGGTGAAAAAGCTTAAAAGCTAAAGTGTCAAACTGCTGTAAACTACAAGTAAAAATGAAGATACCTCACAGCTGAAGTCATTTAAATAAAAGTGACCATGGATGTGACTTACCAATGTTCTACTTACACATTTATCGCGTCAAGCAAGGTATACCCACCTCAAACAGCCACAAGTGAACACACATCTGAGGACCACTCGGCAAGAATGTTCAGAGACTTCAGTTTAATAAACAAAGCTAAATGGGGAGGAGTGAAGTTTGCACTTGACATTGTATTTAAACAAAACCAGGGGCTGAAACTCAAGTTTAGACAAAACACAATTCACTAGTCACTAAGCAAAAAAAATGGTCCACAGCAGCAGCACACAGTCCTATACAAAACAAATGTTGCCAATGTTTTGCTTTAGGAAATGTAATGGGTTGACATCATTTACAAATACATAATATAAAAATGGACAGCCCTCTTGAACAAAAATCCACCAAATGTTCTTTATGTGATTTCCCGCATTCCCCCAATAGGCCATTCTGGTGAGTTACTAGCATCTGCCATTTCATCTTTTAAAATTAAAAGAGTGATGGGCACATGTGCTATGCAGAATATAAGAGGTGTCTTATAAAAAAGGGCCAGGGCTGACCGAGAACAAGTGGGTCTCAAAAACCAAATGTTCCTATCTCATTTCTGTTCCTCACTCTTAAGACACAGAAGTATCTTGGGACACTACAACTAGGCCCAGCCTATAGCAAGAATTTTCCTGCTGCTGCCCTCAATGTGAGGGAGACTGAGAACCTCTCAGCTTGGATGCCCTTTCCCTTTCCATTTAAGAGGAGAATTGGTGGTAGCAAGTGGCGCTGCCCAAGGCCTGTCCACCCAGTGCACCGCCAGGTAGCGGGTGATCCATCGGGCCCGCGTGAAGTAAGGCATTTCCTGTCTCCAGAGTCCCGTTCACTTCCTCATTAGCAGCTTGGCAAAATCAGCATTGGACATCTTGGGTGCCTCGGTGGCCGCCGGCGTGGCAACTGCTAGACTTGGGGCAGGGCCGTTCTCGGCCTGAGGAGCTGCAGCACTTGGGCGCTGCAGGGCGCGAGGCAGCAGAGAGAGCTGGGTCCTTCCTTTCCCCCGCCTGGAAGAACAAACATCGAATGGACCCTCCACACTGCAATTTGTGGCCGCTGTTTTATGTGTGAAAATAACCCAGGAATAGTTTTGAATTACTCCAAGTTAAAAGGTGAAAAATAAAAAAGAAGGATGAGTTAATTCCTGTCTTGTTTTGGTTTGGGTTTTGTTTCTTTGAGATGGAGTCTCGCTCCGTCACCCAGGAACATGGAATGTGGTAGTGCCATCACAGCTCCCCAGGAACTCTCAGTCTCCCGAGTAGCTAGGACTGCAGGCACACGCCACCACACCTGTTCCTGGCTCCTTAATTCTGACTATTAAGTGAAAGGACCAAGCCTCACACTTAGGATGGACACAAACGGCTGTCATCTCTCAGGCCTCCCAATGACCTTGCAATTTGCCAGTTCATCCCTTAAGGTGGAAACAGAGCTTCTGTGAGGATTACAGCTAGGCAGTAGACTGGCAAGCAGACGGCTGTTAGATTTTGTTTTAAATACAGATTCAAGGGGACTTTAAAATGATCACTGCCCCCAGCCTGGGCAACTTGGTGAGACCTCGTTTCTACAATAAATAAAAAAAAAAAAAAAAAAAAAAGGAATGGGGTGTGGTGACACATGCCTGTAGTTCCAGCTACTTGGAAGGCTGAGGCAGAAGGATCACCTGAACCCAGCAGGTCAAGGATGCAGCAGCCGTGAGTGTGCCACTGCACTCCAGCTGGGCGACAGAGTGAGACCCCAACTCAAAAGGAATAAATTAATAAAATAAAATAAAATAAAATAAAATGATCAGTACCTTAAAAAAGCTGTAACTGAAATGAATGCAAGTGTAACTTGGCCAACTGCAGCAGGGCCTCCCATCCCGCTTGCACCCTCCCGGGGCTGCTCAGCAGATCCAGTAATCATAAGGAGCTGCGGACCCTGGCTTGTGAGTCCTCACTGACCGTACTGCGAGGAAACTCACCCCTGGCGTAGCCCCCCATGGCCCACGAACTGGGGCTGGCAAAGTCTGCGCGAGGCTAGCACACACACACTTACGCTCCATACGTCTGCCGCGGCACCATGGGGCCACCTGGTGCTTTCCTCGCCTCCGCCTTTTCTGGCACTTTCCTCTGTGGGGGATTGCTGATAGCCACTTTGATGACATTCTCTTTGATAGTCATGCCGTCCATCTTCATGACAGCCTGTGACGCCTGGGACTCATTCTCATACTCCACGTAGGCCAGGCCCTGAGAGAGGCGAGAGGTAAGCCAGGTCAGACACCGCGCACCTAGGATGCAACTTCCTCATGCGGGTCAGGTGGCCTGGCTTCCTGATGAGGGCCAGTAGGCCAGTCCAGGGCAGGACCCACCAACAGGCCACCTTCCCCACCGCTGCATTCCATCTGTAGGTTTATTTCCCCCCTTCCTACTCTCCTTCCCTACTGCTGTTCCTCACTGTCACTTTAAATAACCTTCTAAGTTCAGGATGCATGAGCTGGGGGGCCGTGGGACACAGGGCGAGCAGTCCAGCTGCCAGGTGACCCTGTGCCTTTGGTCACTTGGAGGGAGGAAACTGCAGGAAGGCACCTGCTTCAAGGCCCGTGTGCCACTGGTCACAGGGCTGCCCCTGGGCCCCACACTGTGACCCCTATAAATTCATGATCCTTTATGTTCCAAATTTCTTATTCTTTTTAGTACGATTAGCTGCAAAAGTTAATCTGATTCCAAATATGAGTACAGCCAAATGTGCTTATTTTTCTATTAAGTTACCATTTTATTGCTTAGCAGACAAATTAGGAACCCACTCTAGAGCTAAATAATCTCTGGAAAGATGTAGAAACTGGGTTCGTCTGAGCCTCCAAGATCATGCACCATCTGCTCTAGTGCTGACCTTTGGTTTACCAGCCCGGTTGGTGACCAGCCTGAGGTCCTTCACAGTGCCATGAGCCTTACAGATTTCTTCCAGTTCCTCTTTAGTGCAGGAGAAAGGCAGGCCTGAGATGAACAGCTTGTGTTTCTCCAGGGCAGTGCTGTACCTGAACACCTGCAGGAAGAAGGGGGAGAGAAAACCCACAGTTGGAGGCAGGACCAGGGTACCAGCCTCCAGCAGCTCCAGCCTCATCCACAGGTGCACACTCCAGCCAGGCGGACCAGGGCCGGGCTGTGTTCTTAAGATTTCTTCATGGGGCCACCAGGAGAACTAGTCACTTAACCTCTCTAGGCTTCCACTTCCTCCTCTGTAAAATGGCAAGAACAAATGTAGCCATTCACAGTTTGATGAGAACTCAATGAGGTGACATATAAAACCAGGCTCCCAATGGGAAGTAGCCACTGTGACAATTCCCAATTCTGTTTCGTCAGTGAGTCAATGGATACAAGCTCAGAGTGACCAAGTTCAGACCTCAGTCAAGACCCAGTCCAAATGAACCTCAGTTCTCATGGAAGTTTTATATCCTGAAAGACCCAAAAACCTCTGTGCATTTTCTAAACATCAGGGCTGTAGGAAGAAAGTGTTTAGCCTGTCTCAAGCAACCCCACGAGAAAGGCATTCTTTTTTCCATAAACATACCTTAAAATCAGGGTTTTTGCTCTTATCCACGCAGGGGGACACAAACATGGGCCTGCCTTCTACACTCTTCCGGTCCAACTCCAGTGCCTGCAGGGCCGACTTCTCCTCCTCAAACTCCACATAGCAGTAGCCTCGGAAATCCCCGCGGTTGCTGAAGATGGGGCGGATCTCAGTCACCGCCCCACAGGTCTCAAAGAGCGGTCTGAGATTGGCGGCTGGCTCCTCCATGCTGTAGGGCAGGTTGCTGACGAACACAGTGACACCATCCTTACTGCTATCGTGCCTCACTCTGGGCACGTCCCTCCTTAGGGAGGCCGCCTTCTCCTTTTGCTTTGATGGAGGGTCAACATCCATGGGTGCACACTGCCCAGTGGGCCCCAGGTCCACATTCATGTCTTGGGCTTCTCTGGCTGGAGGGACACTGTTCTCAACCCTTCTGCGCTTGGTAGGCTGCTCTGCAGGTTTTCAGAAGACAAGCAACAGCAGTTAACTGCTACTTCTCCTCAGTGAGCTTTCAATGAAGGTGTGAAGGGAATGTGTTCCCCCCACCACAAACCACTGTAACAGCTGCCTGTGACACACTCACTCCTCTCGGCAGATACAGAGGGGCAAGCGTCCCACCCCAAGGAAGTCTCTCTTGACCTGTCCCATGACCTTCTGGCCCTCAGTTACATGTGGGTAAGTGAGCTAAAATCAAGTGGAATACCAAGTCTTCATTGTCCATTCTTAATTATACAAATGATCACAGGTCCCAAAGTTCAGATGACAAATTCCAGGGCCCCTCTCCTATATAGCCCAGGTCAACAGGAGTGGGATGGGACCTGTCAATCTGCACTGAAAAAGGCACCCCAGTTGACTGGTGTATGTGCTCCACAGTGCACATTTTGGAAAGCACTGCAAAGGGTCCATGTTTCCTAGAACACTTTCAGTATAGCCTTGTGTCCTTCCAGAGAGCTGGCCAACAAACTCACCTCCAGCTGGTGCTCACTACAGTCTCCCAAGGGCCAGCACCAAAGCTCCATGGATGGGGTCTCCTGCACAGACCTTCCCAGATTGCTCTCTGCCTTCCCAGGGAGTCTGCATTTAGGAGCATCCTGGGACTGGGCCCAGTTGGCTGGGCTGCCCACCCCTCCAGCCTCCTCAACCACTGAGCCTATCCCTACCCCTCTGCTATACAGCTGAGTGCAAACTCAATTAAGGGCTGCTCACAGAAAATGCCAGGTCATCCTATCTATGGCTTCACATCTTGCTTGCAGAGGCTCTCTGGCTAGCTTATCCTTCCCCATTCCTTCCACTTGACAGCCATTCTTCCCCAGGGGGCCACCGAAGTCTTTCTGTTAAGGAGCAGACCTACTAATGCCTTCTTGGGCCTCCACAATTCACAACTACATCTCCCACAGTCCTGATTACACATCACTGCAGTCACACATCACATCTGCCTTACCCTACTATACTGGGAGCTGAGAGGCAGGGAGCTGCCCTCAGTCACTCAGTAAGGCCCAAACAAAGCATGTGACAAAGGTCACCTGACTGACGCCTCCACTACCAGCTCCTGCCAGCTAATGTCTACACTACAAAGACATGCAGAGTCCTCTAATGTCCAGAGGCAATTCTTTACCTTGAATGATGCTGAAATAAATCTGACTCATATCTGCCAGTCCCTGAAATTACACGGGGAACAGAAATGCCAGGTAGAAAATTCCTCCAAGAATTCCTCTGCTGAGCAGAGCCAAGCAGGGCAGGGTAATGCAGGTGGGCTGCAGTGGTGGTATGGGATGCTGGAACCTGAGTGCGAAGAGGAGGATGAACAGATGTGGGATGACAACAGGGACTCAGCATGAGGCATGGGAGTCAAGAGCAGGGAGAGGAGAGCACCCATGCAGGAGGGCCGTGGTGGCAACAGCAGGGTGTGGAGCTCACTGGAGTGGCAGGGGTGTCTATGCAGGGCAGCACTTTGCATTGGATAGGGGAGACCAAGCAGGGAGGGGAGGCTGGGACAGGAAGTTGGTGATGTGTGTACAGGGGGCTGTAGAGTAAGTGAGGATGTGGAGGTTGGTGGGAGCCAGGTTCTCAATGTCAGAGACAGCATTGCAGATAGGAAAGAGAGAAAACCAGAATGGACCCTGTGATGTCAGACTGGAAGTGGAGGCATCAGTGTGAAACCAGGATTCCCAACATACACAAATAGCTACAGAATTAAGTATGGCTGTAACTGTGTGTGTGCACACAAACACACATACGCTTATGCACACACACACTCCTCAGTTTCTGCCACTCTGAGCCCGGGAACACCACCCCAACAGCAATGAGCACAACCAGCACCCTCTAAACAACACTCACCATTTAAGAACCTGGAGAAATAGAGGACTCCAGGGCAGAGTTATGGAAAGTACAAGATCTCCCTGGGGTACTGTGTAGAAGGAAGGAAGTGATCCAAGAATTAGGGGACAGGTAAGAGACACACAGGAGCCTTTGAAGAAACCACATCCGGGACAAGCAGAGCATCAACATGATTACCAAAACGACCACCACTAGTAATGGGATGAACCTAAATCACACACCATCTGATGGGATTTGGCAGGGACCCAGCATCACTCACATGCTGTTCCCACCAAAGATGCAAGACCTGAAGCTATTCATGAGGGAGCATCAGACGCCCACACAGAGGGACACTCTACAGAATAACTAGCCTGTCCCCTGCAAGAAAGTCCAGGTCACAAGTGTTTAAAAAAAAAAGACTGAGGAATGTTCCAGACTGAAGGAGATTCAAGAGACAGGACAACTAAACACAACACTGGGTCCTGAACCAGATCCTCCCACTACAAAGGATTTTATCAGGACAAATGGGAGACCGAGAATGGGGTCTAAGAAATCCCGGGAGAAATGGCCCAGTGATAACTTGAATGCAGGCATAGAGAACACACACTCTCAAAAGCACTGAAGGTTGCTACATGTCCAGCAGGCAGCTCACTCTAAATGGCTCAGGGAAGAAAGCCTTCCATACTGTCTGCAGCCGTTCTGCAAGCTGAGCCACTTCACCACACCTTCTCCAGAACACCTCACCTTCTTCCTCATAGCCCCACTCCTTCTCATCATCCTCGTCTGCTCTGCGCTTGTCTGTGCCTCTGGGCTTCTTCTTCTTTTTCAGCGCTTTCTTCTCAGCCCGGGCCCTTTTCCGCTGTTCAGCCTTTTCTTCTTCTTGCTGCACAAGAGCTGCCTCCTTCTCTGCTGCCTAGAAGAGTGGGAATATGAGGCATCACTGGACATAGCAATCACATTCACTGGACTGATGTGGGATGAAAAGGGAGGAGTGGAGATCCAGGACTCAGATGAAAAGAAGAGGTCAGAGAAGGACAAGGAGCTCACAACTGTCCCACCAGCACTGGGCTCATTCGGGCTCCGCAGGACTCTGGAGCTCATGTGTACAGTATGCTCAACAATGTCCTCACCTCAATCATTATTCACTAAAAAGAAGGAAAAAAGTCTCTAAAGCTTGGGCCCTAGTTAAGTGGGGGGTGGGGGGTGTTAATGTTCTACTCAATAGGATAATGAGGCCCCCTTTTATTCCTTTTCATCTATCCAGTAAATTATAGGGCCAAAATTCTCTTACTACATGAAAAAAGTATTTATTGTCAGGTCCAAAGTTTCACACTAATCTAAAAAGATGAAACAAGACAGGGTTAAACATTGATTCAAATATTTTATAATTAATATTCTAAGAAAGAAACTTCTTAGGAAAGCCTGAAGGTTTTGACAAAAAACATCCATACCAAACAGTTAAAATAGTTGCCAGAGGTTCCAAAGACTTCCAGTACACATAATCATTACCTTCAGTCTTTGCTCATTAACACGGGCCAGTCGAGCTTCAGTTTTCTGAACAGCTACATCCCAGTCTTCTAAAGTACCTTGACAGAAAGAGAACAACAACTTTCACTCCTGAACTTTTGAAAGATATGAAGACAGAAATGTACTTAATTTCCCTATACCTCCAGAAGAGATCTCTCCCATAAGCCAAGAACTGGAGAATCAGGTCCCCATCTTAAGAAAATGTAACTCGGCCGGGCTCAGTAGCCGAGGTGAGTGGAGGCCGAGGTGAGTGGATTGCCTGAGCCCGTGGGTTCGTGACCCACCTGGGCAACTTGACAAGACCTCATTTCTACAATAAATCAAAACATCAGCCAGGCGTGGTAGTACGCGCCTGTAGTTCCAGCTACTTGGAAGGCTGAGGCAGAAGGATTGCCGGAGCCCAGCAGGTCGAGGCTGCGGTGGCTGGGAGCAGTCATTGCACTCCAGTCTGGGTGACAGAGTGAGACTCCAACTCAAAAAAAACAAGAAAAGAAAAGAAAAGAAAATGTAACTCATACAGGCTTAAAGTTTGGAATTCCAGTAGTCCTTCTAAGTAGGTTTAAAATGTCCCTTCTCTTTCAGAAAAGAGTCTTGAAAACCAGAATGTGATCAGCCTCTCAAGGCAAAGATTCTGAAAACATTCTAAAGCAAAGGGTACAAGACATTTAGATTAGAACTGAAGGATTTTAAGAGCTACTCAAGGTTGAGATGCTTTTTTATTCTTATTTTTTTGTTGTTGTTTGGGTCTTTGACTCTCAGTTCTGAGGGGATCATACCCAAAATCCAGACCAATACCCATGGATAAGTTCACACTAGCTTCCTCCTGGTTCTAGTTCTATAACTTAGCATTGAAGACTCTGGAATTCGACAAGGGATGCAGGCACGACCAAAGAGCACAACAAACCATCTGCCTCTTCTCCTTGGCTGTGCAGACACTGCACTAGAGTAGTGGTCCTCAACTGGGGTAATCTTGCCCGCCAGGGGACATTTGGCAATGTTTGGAGCCACTGCTGGCTGTCATGTAAGGTTGGGGTGGGAGGTTGCTACTGACCTCTAGTGGGTAGAGGCGAGGGATACCACTAAACATCCTACAATGCACAGCCACCACCACAAAGAATTATGAAACTCCCCCAACACCCTCCAACCCCCCCATGTTAGAGCTACACCAGAGTCCTTCTGGTAGGTGGGGAATTTGAAAAGAGCCGCAGGAAGACTCATTCTCACTGGTGAGCAAGCATGACAGTCTAATCACAGAGCGCCACTGGAGGGGTAGCAGTCATAAACACAGCCTATCCTCACAGTACAAGCAGACACTCCTACTTGAGACCAAATAGCCAAACTTGGGCCAAATTTCAAGCCAGAAGAAGAGCTGGGGATCCCACCTTCTGTTCTCTCCATGGTGAGCAACACCTCACAGACATGTTCAGGGTAGTCACTCGTGCACTGCACGGCCCGGTGCAGAGCCTTCCGGCAGTGCTGGGTGTCACCGTGCGCCCTAGGGCAGAAAACAAACAGTTGCTGCCACCAGGACACAAAGTGGAAGGCAAATGAAGGGAGAAGCCATCTGCTCACAGGCAGAAGCTCACTCTGTGAGGATCCGAGCTCTGAGGAGACCCTAGCTTCCAGAACTACCCACGTTTTCTTCTTCTAAGAAGGTTTTCTCTACGCCATTTGTTCCCTCAGCCAGGGAGGTGCTACTGGACAATACACCTGGGAATGGGATCTGCAACCTGGTTTTCTGCCTTTACAGCTTCATACGTGCATCACTTGGCAGGGGGGAAGGGATAACTCTGTAACTTCATAAAGCCCCTAGGGAAATTCTACTGTGCCGTCCTATCCAAGGGGAGTGCTGCTAATCCAGGGGACTGTCAAATCTCATGCCTGAAGTTACATCTCTTCCTATACTGCCAATCACACAGATATAAAACAATTCCATCAGTCATGACAGTTATGAAACAGCACAGTCCCCTTTCTGTCTGTAAACATTTTAAATATGCATAAACGTATAAGGATACTCAGAAAAAATTCAGAGCAGCGCTTCTCAAGTAGGATCCATGTACCCCTCAGGGTCTCCAGACCCTCTTGGAAGCCTCCTTTTATAATAATTCCAAGATATTATTGGGCTTTCTCACTATGCTGACATTTGCCAGACAGCGCAATAGCAGCAGCGGCCCTTAGCGTAAATCAAGGCAATACACGTCTTTTTAACATTCTATGGAGTGAAATGGGAAGGAAGCACACACAAAGCACTTCCTCTACATACTGAAGTACAATGGTTTCTGCAAAGAAAAGCATGTGATCCTGTTTGAGTTATAAGCTGACCTAGTCATGCTTTTACTTCAAAGAACAGCTGGGTGACAAAACATGGCTATTCAGACCAAGGTATGTGGCAGACATTTCCAAAAATTAACAGTGAGTATGCCACTTCAAGGAAAACTCTGACATGATTTGTTGTATGTGATAAAATTCCAGCTTTCAAGTGAAAATTAGAATTTTGGAAAACTTGTATATACCACCACAAGTGTGACAGCTTCCTACTTAAAAGAGTTTTCTACTAAGATCAGTACAGATAAGAACAAACACGATTTTTTTATATTGTAGAATGAAAGATGTCAATATTTGGAAGAGCTGCATGATTTAGTGATAGATGTTCCAAATGATGTAAAAAAATTATGATACCATGTAAAAGATGAAAGGTCCAGTCCAAGTGCAAAAGAGACAACTAGAAATTAATGTAACAGAACCAGAAAAATTTATTATTATTTCAGATTCCACACTGAAACTGGTCTTAAAAAAACTATCACTTGAGATTTACTATAGTGTGAAAGAATAATATTCACAATATCTAAAAAGTCTATTTAAATATCCCTTACTTTTCTTTTTAGATAGGGTTTCACTCTGTTGCCCAGGCTGGAGTCCAGTAGCACAAGCTTGGCTCACCATAACCTTGAACTCCTGGGCTCAAGCAATGCTCCCATCTCGGCCTCCCAAGTAGCCGGGACTATAGGCATGCTCCACCATACCCAACTAACTTTTGTATTTTTTATAGAGATGAGGTCTCACTTTGTTGCCCAGAGTGGTCTCAAATTCCTGGCCTCAAGCAATCCTCCCACACTCAGTCTGCCCCTTTGTTTTCTAACTTTATATCTATGTAAGGCCAAATTTTCTTCATACTCATCAATGAAAATAAGAAATCACACCAGAATGAATGCCATAACAGAACATGAGAATTCAGAGGTCTTCTGCTTAGCCAGACTAAAAATATTTGCAAAAATGTAAATAGTCATTTTTCAAAAAAATAAGTTATGTAAAATGTAACAAATCTGTTATTTTACAATGAATTAATAAAAATATTTTAAAAAATTTTTAGCTTTATTTTCTAATATGGTAAATATTCACTCACATAAACAAAAGCTCTTTGGGGTCCATCACTTTTAAGAGTGTGAAGAGTGTAAAGGGGTCCTAGACCAAAAAATTTGAGAACTGCTGATATAGTAAAATATTCAACAAGCTTTAGTAGAGGTTACTTCTGGGGACAGGATTATAAGAAACTGTCACTTTCTATCACATATTCTTGTCAATGTTCTGACTGCTTTAATTTGGACATTCTTTTTCAAATAGGAAAAAATATCACAAAAAAGGCAATACAGAAATATATTTATGTAATGTACAATGTTCAAGATATATTGAATTAAAAAGCTTGTCAAATTCTTTATATTTTCTCCCATGTTATAAACATTACTGGGCATATCTTACTTCATTCAAATAGTTTTAAAGGTTTATATCAGCCAGGCATGGTGGCTCATGCTTGTAATCCCAGCCCTTTTGAAGGCCGAGGCAAGAGAATTGCCTGAGACTAGGGTTTCGAGACCAGCCTGGGCAACTTGGTGAGACTTCGTCTCTACAATAAATCAAAAAATTAGCTGGGTATGGTGGTGTGTACCTGTAGTTCCAACTACTTGGAAGGCAGAGGCGGAAGGATCACCTGAGCCCAGCAGGTCGGGGCTATGGTGGCCGTGAGTGCCACTGTACTCTAGCATGGGTGACAGAGTGAGACTTAAACTCCAACTCCAAAAAAAAAAAAGGTTTATACCATGTATGCCACAATTGTGTTTTCATTTTTTAAAAATTGAAGCATAGAAAAGTCTCAAAGAATATATCCCAAATCATTAACTAACAATGGTTATATCTGGGTCAGTAATTTGAGTTTTTTTCTCTCTGCTTCTTAGTATTTTCTACTTTTCTATAAAAGCAAAAACAATGAACACATACACACACACACACACACACACACACACACAGTTTCAAAAAAGTCAAATAAAACATTCATGTCCAAAAATCAAAGTAAACCAAAAACAAAACCAGAAGAAATGCATAGCTATGAGAGCTACAGGTACAAAACATGATGTTTGGGTCTCTAGCCCTGCTGGTTAAAAATGAACCCACTGATAAAAGAGATAGGGTGAAGGAAGGTGGCCTGGTTCTAAGGAGTAAGCCCCAGTTGGCAGGAGCCAGTCAGAAGACAGGTGCACACCTAACAAGCAATACCTCCCTCCCCTACCCCAGGTCAGTTACCTTTCCAGGTTGTAATACTCAAGCCACATGTTGGCGTACTTGGCATTTCCTTTGGTCATGATGCTATCCCAGAGTTCCCGAGCTTTCTGCATATTATTGCACAGTCGAGCCTAAAGTGCATTAGCAGGCTCAGTTAGGAAAAGAACCTTAGGACATCACCCATCACAAAACACTTCAAACAGACATGCATAAAAGGCCCCTGTAACTATCAGTGCTACATAAATCCCTGACATTCCCCAGGCCTCCCCACAGTGATAACAGGCCCAGTCCAAACACGTCTGCCTTTCCGTAGAGACAAGACTCAAGTGCCTGCCTATACCTCTGAGAATAGAGAGTGGGAGCCCATAGCATGCATTCAACAGTACTGGATGGTCTTTTTATTTAATTAAACATAATTATAAGTCTTTGAGAGGCAATACAGTAAGTCCCCTACAAACCTTCAAATTACAAACTTTAACGATGCACACCTGTGTTTATTTATTATTTCTCACCACCAGGTGTCAGTATAGTCTGCTAAATATATACAGTACTATATGGCCGATGGTGTTGGATATCTAGGCTAACTTTGTTGGGCTTACAACAAATGGACTTATGAATGCACTCTCAGAACCGAACGTGTTCGTATGTTGAAGACTGATCTAGCATTAAATATGGGTTCTGCCGCTTACAATCTACGTGACTTGGCAAACTAATCTTGCCAAGCTTTGGTTTCCTTATCTTTAAAATAGTTATAACAGAAACATCCCACATAGAAACTATCTGACTTCGACCTGACTCCCCCTCAAAGAATAAAACAACTAGAATTTTACAATTCTACCACATGATCATGGGCAGGTCCCATGTCCCACTCAGCATGGTGTTCCTGGCCCAGTAATGACATTCAACTGATTATATTCTCTAATTATCTACCAAATCATCTGTCTCCTACACTAGGTTAAAACCCTACTAGTACAGGAACTGTATCCATCTTACTACCCAGCACCTGGCACAGTGCTGGCCAACAGCACACACTCAGTACTCTCTCACAAATAATGAATGAGGGAGAGATGGAAGTAAACAAGAGAATATTCAGCATTCAGACATTTGCTGCACAACTTCTAGCTGGGAGCTAATATTTTCAGAAGATATTAACAAATATCCATCAAGCTAGATAAATAACATGAATCCTTACAGAGCCCAGAGCTTAGACTATTCCCTGGGGTTCTGACTCAATTAAGGTTTAATAGAATGCTATTAAACAAAGATCCTTCAAAGGTAGATGAAACTGACAGATCTGTCAAAAACACTTACCTCAATCCTAGCCCAGTTCTGCATGATCATGCAGCTTGGATCGCCACTCTCATTGAAACCTTCAAGAATCAAATTAGTCAAAATTAGAAAGGAATTTAGAGGCAAACAGCCTTTGATTAAGAGGATATGTTCACCAAGAGCAGGAAATACAACAGGGCAAAGCAGTAAGTTAGAGTCATACTTACGCTCTTCTACCTCCTGTTTCAGATACTCCAAAGCACGAGTGAACGTGGCCCTCAACTCTTCTAGCTCTTTACTGGAGTCTGTTGGAAATTGCAAAAAAAAAAAAGACTTTATGAGACCACACAGCATGCCCTTTTAAAAACATTTCTACACTGAAACTGCCTGAAGACCCACTATGTACCTGGCGCCATGATGAAACACAGAACAAAATTACCAGCTCCTGACCTCTTCACATAGTGGGGGAGAAAGAAATTGGATCAGTGACAAAGGTGAGCACAGGGTGGTGTGTGTGGGATCACAGTGGGGGGTCTCCCTGGCCGGGGTGACGCAAGCAAGCAGTAAGTTGAAAGGCAAAGGCTGTCTGTGTGAGATAACAGCTGATGTGAGGGTGTGAGTACAAGTCGGGGTTTTCTGAGGAGGGCAGAGGCTCCTGCAGAGTTCAAAGAGTAAAACAATACGGTAGTCTTGCTGCAAGAACTATTCAGGATATGTACAAAGGACAGAGGGGAGAAAGAGGTGGATTAAGGTGGCTGGCAGGAGTCAGTATAAAACGTAGGGACCACTGCCCTCTTCCTTTGCAAACCACAGCACGATTTGCTAAAGACATCAATCACTAACACTTCTGGGAGAAAAGAGTCACCAATGGCTGGCTTACTTCATCTGCCCAATCATGATGTATCTGGGAACTGGGACACCTCACCAAAAGAGGTGCCAAGAGAAAGTTCAGTTCTGAGGCACCACACATGCACTTAGATACCTTGTTTGAAATCAACCCTTCTCCTCAGGTAATCAAGGTACGCCTGCCAAATCTCCACATAGTCAGTGGCCTGGATGAAACCAGCATTCAAAGCTTTCTCGAAGGTTACTAGCATTGGGAGAAAAAGCCAGGATTCGTTACCAATTCAGAAAGAAGCTAATATATAGTTACCAAACTTGACTGACTATAAAACACTACATGACTTCAAAAAATAATAATAGGATGCAGCAAAGTGAAATGAGCAAGTAGAATATTCAAAAGAGAAGCTGCTATAGCACCACACAGCCTGTGCTCTAGAAATGCTGCAGGATGCGTTCCAGGTCAAGTAAGTTTGGAGAAAAGACCACGACTTCTTAAAAATCATCGTGAATACTGGCATGTTAGAAAGCTCCAGGAAGCTGAAATACGCCCAGTTTATCTTCTTCTAACAACCTTTCTGACATTAACACTCAACATCCTCCCCTCAAAAAACCCTGGAAAATGTTGACTTAATGACTTTGTCACAGTTTTATGTTTCTGTTGGGGACAAAAAGCTTAATATCCGTACCAGAAATCACTCGATGATCCACTCCGTGTCTTTCCATGGCCAACAGGTACCGACTCCATAGGGCAACCGTCCAGGGGCAGTTTCTAACAGCTCGGTTATGTACAGACAAAACCAAATCCTTGACTTTCAGCTGCCGATCCTATAACAAAGAATTCCAGGGTTAGAAGGTAGAATTTTATGGAGGACTTCACATCACCAAGACATTGCCAGAACAAACTGACAAAAGAAAGTTCCTTTAAAAAACAATATCTCAGCCGGGCTCGGCGGCTCAGCCTGTAATCCCAGTACTTTGGGAGGCTGAGGTGAGTGGATTGCCTGAGCCCGCGGGTTCGAGACCCGCCTGGGCAACTTGGCGAGACCTCATCTCTACAATAAATCAAAAAGTTAGCCGGGTGTGGTAGGGCGTGTCTGTGGTTTCAGCTACTTGGAAGGCTGAGTCGGAAGGATCGCTGGAGCCCAGCAGGTCGAGGCTGCGGTGGCCAGGAGCGGCCACTGCACTCCATTCTGGGTGACAGAATGAGACTCCAACTCAAAAAAAAAAAACAAAAAAAAAACTCTCATAACATGGCTTCTTCAAAGAAGAAGAAATGGTCAGAGGGAGAGCAAGAGATGAGAGGTAGAGGGAAACTTACAGGTTAGAACAGACTTACGAGACACCAGTCAATCCTAATGGATGGACCGCATCTGGACTTTATAAAACATATGCGGGAATATTCCATATATACATACTGCAATATTTACCAGTGGAATATAATTTCTGACTTGCTTCAAACTAATGAGAAGGGGGAAGTGGGTGAGAATATAGATGAAAACAAACTAGACCCATAATTGTTCATTGTTGATGCTGAGTGATGGCTACATGAGGTTTCATTTTACTCATCTGTGTACCTTTAAATGTTTATGTTTTCTTCATAATAAAATGTTAAAAGAAAAAAATTAATGGTATAAAGTCCGAAATATAGCTAGATAGTAGAATGCAATTTTTTTAGTTAGTGGCTATTTTATTTTATTTATTTTTTTGAGTTGGAGTCTCACTCTGTCGCCCAGACTGGAGTGCAGTGGCCGCTCCCGGCCACCACAGCCTCGACCTGCTGGGCTCTGGCGATCCTTCTGCCTCAGCCTTCCGAGTAGCTGGAACTACAGGCAAGTGCTACCATGCCCGGCTAATTTTTTTATTTTATTTTATTGTAGAGATGAGGTCTCGCCTGCCCAGGCGGGTCTTGAACCTGCAGGCTCAGGCAATCCACTCACCTCAGCCTCCCAAAGGCATGGGATTACAGGCTGAGCCACCAAGCCTGGCAGTGGCTATTTTAAAATAACTTAAAACACTGGGAGAACTTCATAAACAAGTTGGCAAAGAGGAGAAAAGGAGGACAGAAGACAAGAAAAAGCAGACTATGGCAGCATGCAACTAACTCCTAATATTTTATCGATTTCAGTAGATTCTAAATTTGTAAAAACAAAATCAGAACAGTGATCTTACCAGGTACTGACTGTAACGAATCCATAAATCTGGGACAAGGCAGTTCTCAACCAGGGCACGCTCGAAGATCAACTGAATGCGAGCAGGATCACCAATTTTCATCTCAAAATCAATATATGCTTGATATTCTGCCAGCCTTGGCGCTTCTGCTTGCAACTGGAGCACAGGAAAATTGCATTGAAGCTAAATTTAGTTTCTTGACACTATGTCAGGAAATACAACACATCTTCAAATAAAATACATTTTGGCAAGACTGGCTACAGCAAGGTAAGAATCACCAAATCCTCACTCTCAGAACTACTCCACAGCAGGGTCTACAACTTCATGAGCAGAGTGAGAGTCTTCCCATCAGTTCCAAAGTGCCTCTTCAGGGCAAGCATTACAAAGACTCCATAGCCCTTTCCTAAATCCGTTCCTAGACCACAGGGGTTTAAACTGCCCATCAACCAGGAACTGAGTCAAGGGCAACACCTCTGCCAATGACCACAGCTAACAGTCCCTTCAAAAGGGAAGTCATGTTCTCGGCCTAGTGAATGCAGTTCATGCAACTGGAAAGTCGGTACCATGCACTATTTCAGGTCTTGCATTCCAAATCTCAGTTCCTAGGAGAATACAAGGACATGAGGAAGATGGAGGAGGCTGTGCCAAACGTTTACTGATCCAAAGACATACAATGAAACTCTTTTTAGACAAAATCCTCTAATTCAACGTATTTTCTCTTCAATCACACTCTGCTGATTGAGGCTTTGTCAAGCCCAATTACATACAAGTCATTTGAGTGTGAAAAGATAGGGAGAGGGAGCACGTGTGGGCAAACACAAGAGTGCACATGCTCTGCACAGAGAAAGATGATGTTTTAGCGCCTCAGTTTCCGAGATTGATGGAGAATTAGTTACCCAGACACACTGTCATTGAAAACAACCGAAACTGCTGAATTAAGTATAAAAAATATTTAAAATCTTAAAGTGGCAAAGAAACAAGAATAGTAAGGACTAAGGGCACAATCTAAGTGAAGGTGGCAAGCTAATCAAGGTTAAGTTTTTGCAGGCCTTGGCCCAGATTAAGAAGTTGACCTTCACAACAATCCTATGAGGCAGATCTCTTCTGGATCCCCGCCTTACTTTCATGGAACCTGAGACATAGAGAGGTTAAGTGGCAAGCTGGAATGCAAACTTGAGGCAGCCTGATTCTCAGAATCTGTGCTCTTACTCATGACGCTGAGAAAGATACCAAAAAAGGTTGAGAAGCCCAGAAAACCTCAAGCAGGTCCACACCTGGTCCTACTGTAATGAGATGGCAAAGCATCAAACCTAGCCAATGAGATCTTAAAAGCAGGTAGAGAAAAAAGTGGTTACCTAAGAAGAAGCGGAAGTTAGACAAATAGCTGGCTCTCAACAGTAACCAGAAAAGCCAGAAGCCAGCAAGACACATTTAACTGCTAAGAGAAGGTAACTGTCACTTCAAAATTCTATAGCCTAAGAAAATAACTTTCTATTAGCCTAAGAAAATAACTTTCAAGAAGAAAAGCAAAGACCTGCTCAGACTGAGAAAATCTGTTACCAGCAAATCTCCCATGCAGGAGACTCTAAAGGGTGTACTTCAAGCCAAAGAAAAACGATTCCAGATGAAAGACCTAGGATATAAGAAAGAGGAAAGAGCAAAGAAAGCGGAAAATGCAAGCAGTAAATTTAAACAAACTGTAACTACCAAATGCAGTATTAACAATATGATGCCTGGTGGGCCAAATAAAAAGACAAAATAAGTAGCAGAATAGAAAAGAAGAAGGCTAGGGTGTGGTAAAGGAAGTTAAAAGTGTTCTAAGAACAAGAAAGGGGGACAATGCCATTTACAAATAATACTATTGTCAAGACGGACATTCCAAAACAACTTTTAAATTATTAATAATAACAACTGAGCAAGGTTGATAAATAAAATTAATATAAAACACAAGTTGCACTTTATATGCCAGGAACGGCCAGAGAATAAAATCTTTTAAAGTACACCATGTGTGATAGTATCAAAAATCACTTAGAAATACCTCTAAACAGTGTGTGGAAAACACTGGATGAATTTCAAAACTATTACCAAGCTTTATAGAAAAACAAGATCTGAATAGCAGAGACTTATACAATGTTCCCCTTACTGAACTATGGATTCAACATAATTCCAATAAATAAACTCAACAGTTTTTATTTATTTTTATTTTTTCATTTTTTGAGCCAGAGTCTCCCCTCTGTTGCCCAGGCAACAGTGCAGTGGCAAGCTCGCGGGCACCATAGCCTCGATCTGCTGGGCTCAGGCGGTCCTTCGGTCACAGCCTTCCAGGTAGCTGGAGCCACAGGCATGCACCCCCACGACTGGCTAATTTTTTTATTTATTGTAGAGGTAAGGTCTCACCAACTTGCCCAGGCTGGTCTCGAACCCCTGAGCTCATGCAATCCTCTGACCTCTGCCTCCCAAAGTGCTGGGCCCAGCTTCAACAAGTGTTTTTAAAACAGAACTTGAAAAGCTGATTCTAAATCTATGAAAGCTTAAGAAAAAAAAAAAAGTCAACTCCCTCTTGAAGAGGAGCAAGGGGATGGGACCCATCCTATGGGATGGGAACATATAAAGCTGTCATCATTACAACAGTGCAATATAAACTACTGGGACAGAATAGAGAGCCCAGAAGGTGGTTCCACACATAAATGGCCAGCTCATCTACGCCAGATGTGACACTGCACAGTAGTGAGGGGAGGATGGAATGATCAAGCCAAGTGATAGAACTGGTTCGCCACTGGAAAAATGAAACTGGACCCAGCCTCATACTATGCACAAAAACAAATTCCAGGTGGATGAGGACCTAAGCACAAAATAGAAAACTGTAAAACTTTTCGAAGTAAATAAAGCTAAATTATCAAAAATCTCAGAATAGAGGAGATTTCTTAAATAATCACACTAAAAAGCAAAGGGAAAGAATTTTAATCCAATTGGATTTACCATTAAGAACCGTCATCAAAAGATACCATTTTAAAAAGTGAAAGACAAGCAGCAAACTGTGGGGAAATCTGTACTACCTGCAGCCAAAAATAAGAACGAAGACTCAGAACTCCCGAAAATCAATAGAAATAAGACAAATGGGTCAAAGACTTTAACAGACGCTACACAAAAAAGAAAATCCAAATGAATGAAAAGACGGTCGACTTCATTAGTTACCAGGGAAATACAAATTAAAACTCATCAGAGTGGCTAAAATCTGAGTATGCCAATATCCAATAAGCAATGAGAACTCTCAGAACCTGCTGGCAGCAGTGCAAATTGATGACTGGGAAAACACTTTAGCATAGCCCTGTGATCAGCAAAGTCATTCCTAAGTATATATTCTAGAGAAACACTTTTTCACCTGGAAAACACTGTAGTGTGGGCCTATGATCAGCAATGCCATTCCTAAGTATAAAGAGAAAGGCTTTTTCATGTGCACTAAGAGATACACACAAGAATGTTCAGAGTGATGATGTCGCTCCTCCTAGCAAAAAAACTGGAAATGACCCAACTATCCAGCAACATGGAAACATAAATTGTGGCACACAGACAACTTAAAAGCAGTGAAAACGAATACACTGTAACTATATTTAGCAAGATGAGTAAAACCCAAAAACATGTTTAATGAAAACACACAGCATGATTCCATTATATAAAAGTTCAAAAGCAAGCAAAATTAAACAATATATTAATTAAGGATATGTCATAGATTGTAAAACTATAAAGAAAAGCAAGGGAATGATTATCACAAAAGTCAGGAAAGTGATTACCTCTCGGGAGAGGGAGGAGGAGGCAATCGGAGAGGGGCACATAGGAGACTTCTAAGGTACTGGCAATGTTCTATTTCTTAACCTGGGTGGTGGGTACATGGATGTTCACTTTATTATTAGTATGTAAACTGCATGTACACATTTATACACTCTACATATTTCACAATAAAACAAATTTTAAAGATACTGTTTAACTTGCAACGATCAGGGAAATGTTTGTAGAGAGACGTTTACTACAAAAGAAGCCAATACTTACCAATGCTTCTTCATGGGGCTTATATTTCTCCAGCTGCTGTAGTGCCTTGTTATAGTTCTGAACTACCGACTCTGGGATTGGGTCCTCTGACCATTCTTCATACTCTGCAAATGTGGTCTCCATATCTATTGAAAGATGGATTCAGCCCCGTGGGTCTTGCCATTGGGCTTCAACAACCCAAACACAGATTAAACCATGAGATTCACATGCCACCAGTCCTCCCACATCTGTGGCCATGGCAGCTCTTACTGACCAAGCTCTATGAGTTCTGCTAAGCCCAGAATCTGTCCTCAGAATCTGTCTCAAAACAGTCCCTGGCAACCCTCCCAACGAATCAGCCACAGTCAAGGACATTATGAGCAATGTTTTAACAATACTTACCTGGTGATCCTACGTTCCAATGCTTCACATCCATTAATTTACTCAATCATCACCTCTCAGCAAGGAAGGTTCTATTATAAGCCTCACTTTGCAGTAGAGGAAACTGAAACAGAGGGTTAAGTCCCTTGTCTACAGTTAGGGGTAGAGCAAGGCCTTGAACCCAGGCAGTCTCAAGTTCACACTCTCATCACCATGCTAGGCTGCCTCATGTTGGAATGTGAGATAAAATCAACAAACTAATTCAATTCTAGCTCTTTCTGCATGTTACCTAACAATTTGAATGGGCAGCCACTATATAACTTAGTAAATCCAGTCCAAGAAAACCAGGAAGAGAAATAACACCCGGGTTGCAGTAAGGTTGCCCAGAGGTTCTGAGTGTGTGTAATGCATGACTGTGCCTCAGGAACAAACAAAAATGGTAGTACCAGCCTCCTCCCACCCTCAGAAAAGTCCTCCTAGCACTGCACATGCTCCTAGATCCAGAGACTCAAAGGTTTGGCTTGCCAAAACTTTTTTTTTTTTTTTTTTGAGTTGGAGTCTCACTCTGTCACCCAGACTGGAGTGCGATGGCCGCTCCCGGCCACCGCAGCCTCGACCTGCTGGGCTCTGGCGATCCTTCCACCTCAGCCTTCCAAGTAGCCGGAATTACAGGCATGTGCTACCATGCCCGGCTGATTTTTTGATTTATTGTAGAGATGAGGTCTCGCTGCCCAGGCGGGTCTCGAACCCGCAGGCTCAGGCAATCCACTCACCTCAGCCTCCCAAAGGCGCGGGATTACAGGCTGAGCCACTGAGCCGGGCGCCAAAACTTATCTACCAAAAAAGAAGACTCTCTACCAAACCCCTGGGAATTCCGCTATGAGTACTTGCAATCAACAGTACTTCTGAGGCAGGTCACTCCCACAGAAGAATGATATAAGCTCATGTGAAGTCCCCAGTCTGTTATAGAAAAGGCTACTCCTAAAGAGGAAATGTTAACAATGAAACTTGTATTCAATAAAGTTCTCCCAGAAAAGAGAGTGTGTCACTCACTATTCCTCTCAGAGTCTAACTCTGCCTTTCCAAGCATGTCTTAAAGGAAGAAAGAGATCTCAACTGCGAGTCAGGGAGTCTAGCTTCTGTCTCACCTCTGACCCTCAAAACCCACGTATTAACAATTCAAGGCAGTTATTATCAAGGACCTCATCCAGAGTGATACCATCCTATGAGAATGAGCACACCAACCCCACCTGCATCACAGGATGGTGGGAACAGTCTAATGATGTGACATACCCCAAAGCATTTTATAAACCACGGAGGACTGGCTGTTGCCATGTCAGTTTTTCTTACCATAAAGTGGGATCACCAACTGTCGCCGGAAGAGACTGTGAACTTTCTCAAGCTGTGAATCAAAGGTTTGTTCCCGGTCAAAAGGGGAAAGGAAGGCAGCTATGGGCTAAAGAAGTAAATTAGTAGTAAAATGACAAACTTTAGTTCTTTCTACTTCAAAAAATATCTCAACAAATTTTCAGTTCAAACTAAAAAAATTTATACGACCTTTTATACGTGAGGTATCATGCCAAGTGCTGGAAGAGGTACAAAAATAGGTTATCTCTGCCTCTTAGTGCCTATTACAGGGAAAGTAAAAAAGAATATAAGAAATCACCATAATGAGGCAGAATGTGGTCTTCATAAAAGTAAAGTAGCAGAAGAACCAAAATATTGCATTGCTTGCTTTACGCTGGTTTTCAAGGGTGAACTGTTATGGAAGGAAACAAGAAAGGCCTCCCAGAGGAGCTGGCATCTGGGATGCACGTGCGGGCTCCCCAGAGGAGTGAGGAGTGAAGCTGACCTCAGTTGAAGGAATAGCAAGTGGCAAAAAAGTGCAAAGGCATTCAGAGGACAGGGGGTGCAGAGTCCATGTGGGAATTATGCCTGATACCAAGGCAGCCACAGACACCAGGCAAAGGTGTGAGCACTGATATCTTATTCTGGGTAAGCTGAAGGCACCACTGCAGATTTTTCAACAGGGACATAACCAAGAAATGACTGAGGCTACTTTAATCATGATCTGCCTATTGGGGGCTCCACTATGTATCAGCAATAACTTTGTACACATGCACACAAACACAGTGGAGAGGGGACAGAGCTGTAAAACTCTAGAAATCATAGTCCAGAATATGCAATTATGATAGGGTCAAATCTCCCCTTGCAGTTACAAGTAGACATAATGTATGTTTTCTTGAGTGACATGGTTATTCTTGCACATTCTCCTGGAACTAGGTAACTAAATCAGTGGTATTTTAAAGTACCAGAAAAAAAAACCCGTAAGGTCAAAGAAATCATTTTTGATATTCCACAAAGACTACTTATTTATCTTACTGCTCAACCACGAAGGGATTAGCAAAGACCATTCTGTTAACTATGTTAATAGTAAGATTCGACTCATCTTGGATATTTGTTCCAAGGAGACTTTAAAGACAGCCACTGCCCATTCAGAGGCAAGCACGGGTCACTCACCCGAGCAGCTTCCACAATTGCGCTTTCAAATTCTCGGTAAGCCTCCCAGATGGCGAGTCCTTTAGTCATATGTAAACCAACAGAAGACAGAGCCCTTTCAAACACAGAGCGAACTTTCTCAAGGCCACCTTTCTGACCAATTCCACCGACTGAGTACTGGCCATATTCTAGCCAAATGTTAGGACCTAAAATGACAAGTGCTCAATTAGTTCAGGATATAAAATACCAAAATGTCAAAACTGATGCATACCAATAGAAATGTGCCCACCAAAAAAGTACTTACTCATATAAAAAAGCAAAGCATCACCCCACAAGTATCCCCATTTACTTATACTAACACTGAACCTTTAGATGATTCACTTTTAAGCCTGCTGGAGTGAAAGAACAAAATTAAAAGCACCAATCCTGTTACTAGAAAACTATATTGTAAATCTCTATTAATAATATTTAAACAAAAGAAAACCTGGTTGCCTTATTCCTTCCACTTTCTCTTCAACCTTTTTGTGTACTCACTCCTGTACCTCTAAGACCAGAATAATGAATTAAAGTCTTTAGGAATGCATCCATTCATTCTGTACATGTTTTGCCTATTAAGTCACATTACAGGGATCTGAAAGTAATTTCAGTAATACACTAACCTTTTCACATAAAACTACTTTTTAAAAAAAAGTCAATTTGAGAATTACTGTATACATTTTCCTAAGTCTTGCTTCTTCACTGGGGGACCTATTTCAAAAAACATAGAAGTTTGTTAGCTACTCTGCTTCTGCTTACCAGCACAGAGTTGCATACAGGCTGCAAAATTAAAAAGGAAATGAGCTAGCTGCGGGATCTGGGGCTCTTCTTAAGGATAAGACAAATTACTGATTGTCTCTGAAGCGGCTCCCCCTCTAAAGAGAAGGCAGTTTTTTAAAAGGTTACATCATGGTTCTTCTAATACTCAATCTACAGAGGGGCAAATATCATGGATTTTTTTTTCTTATTAATAGTCTTTATTTTTTAGAGTTTTACATTCCCAGCAAAATTGAGCAGAAGTTTCCCCATATACCTTCCACCCCCACACATGCACAGCACCCCCCCCCATTATCAATATGCCCCACCAGAGTGGAACATTTGTTACAAATGATAAACCTACACTGACACATCATAATCACCCAGAGTCCACAGTCCACATGAGGGTTCACTCTTGGTGTTGAAAGTCTATGGGTCTGAACATGTATCCACCATTACAGTATCAGAGTAGTTTCACTGCCCTACAATTCCTGTGCTCCACCTATTCATCCTTCTCTCTCCCCTAACCCTCAGCAACCACTGATCTTTTGACTATCTCCATAGTTTTGCCTTTTCCAGAATGTCATACTGTGGGAACTATACAGTATGTACCCTTTTCAGATTGGCTTGCTAGCTCATTTATCTCTAGTACAAATAATAATACTCCATTATAGTTTGAATGTACCACAGTTCACCTACTGAAGGACGTCTTGGTTGCTCCAAGTTTTGGAAATTATGAATAAAGCTGCTATAAACACCAACGTACAGGTTTTTGGGTAGAGATGTATTTTCAACTCTTCTGGGTACATACTAAGGAGTGGAATTGCTGGATAGTATGGTAAGCAAATGTTTTGTTTTATAAGATACTATCAAACTGTCTTCTGAAGTGGCTGTACCATTTTGCATTCCTACCAGCAATGAACGAGAGTTCCTGTTGCTCCAAATCCTCGTCAGTACTTGGTGTTGTCAGGGTTCTGAAGTCTGGTCATTCCAATAGGTATGGAGTTTTCATCGTTTTTATTTGCATTTCCTGATGACATATGAGGTGGAGCATCTTTTCATGTGCTTATTTATATCTTCTCTGTTGAGATGTCTGTTAAGAACTTTAATCCATTTTTTAATGATTATTTTATTACTGAGTTTTAAGAAATCTTTATATATTCTGAACAACAGTCCTTTATCAGACTTTTTTTAGAAATATTTTCTCCAAGCTTATGGCTTGTTTTTCACACTCTTGAAGGTGTCTTTTGCAGAGTAAAAATGCTTAATTTCAATGAAGTCCAGTTTATCAATTATTTCTTTGATGGATCATGCTTTTGGTGATGCATCTACAAAAGTCATTCATCACTAAACCCAAGATCATCTAGATTTTCTCCAATGTGATCTTCTAGAAGTTTTATAGTTTTAAGCTTTACATTTAGGTCTGTGATCCACTTTAATTTTTGTGAAAGGTATAAGGTATATGTCTAGTTTAATTTTTATGCAAGTGGATGTCCAGTTGTTCCAGCACCATTTGTTGAAAACACTATCTTTTCTCCACTGTATTGTGTCTGTTCCTTCAGCAAAGATCAGTTATCTGTATTTATTTGAGTTTACTTCTGGGCTTTCTTTTCTGTTCTATTAATCTACTGGTCTATTCTTTTGCCAATACCACACTGTCTTGATTACTGTGGCTTTATAGTAAGCCTTAAAGTTGGATAGTGTCAGTCCTCCAACTTTTTTCTTCTTCAATACTGAACTAGCTATTCTGAGACTTTTGCCTTTTCATATAAACTTTAGAATCAAATTGCTAGGATTTTGACTGGTATAGCACAGAATCTATGGATCAAGTTGGGACAAAATGACAGCTTGATAATATTGAGTCTTCCTAAAAATGAATGTGAAATCTCTCTCCAGTTATTTAGTTTTTTTATTTCTTTTATCCGTTCTTTGAAGTTTTCCTCATATAAATCTTGTACATATTTGTTGGATTTATACTTAAGTAATTCATCTTTTGAGTACTAATGTAAATAGTAATGTGAATTTAATTTCAAATTTCCCTTGTCCACTGCTGGTATATAGAAAATCAATTAACTTTTTGAATATTAACTATATATCTCACAACCTTGCCATAATCACTTATTAGTTTCAGGAATTTCTGTAAATTCTTTTGAATTTTCTACATGGATGATTATGTCATCTATCAACACAGTTTTATTTCTTCCCTCCCAATTTGTACACCTTGTATTTCCTTTTCTTGTCTTACTATATTATATATTAGTTTAGACTTCCAATATGATGTTGAAAAGCACAGGTGAGAGATGCCATTCTTGCCTTGTCCCTGAATAAAAAGTATTTAAACTTATAAAACCCAAGGATGCAGAGTCCACAATGACTGTAAAAGACAGACAAAAGCATGTGTCACTAGATCCCAGGTTCCAAAATAGACATGAAGCTTCTGTGTGAGGTGCCTATGAAGACCAAGGACATTGATTTTCAAAATCTTCAAAGAGCCAAAAGTTCGTGTCCTATTAATGGCCCAGAAAGACCCCTCAGACAGTCAGAAAACCACTACTAAGTACATGCTGAGAAACAGAGGTCTATGCCTGGCATTTTCAAATGTCCAAAAGAGCTAAAAACTAGGATGGCAAATGTGGCTTCTGAACATTTAGAACAAGTAGCATAATTTCTAAGTACTAAGCTCCTGAAAATAACACGAGTCCCACGTTCAAAACTACTTATTAGGCATCATCTAAGATGCTTGGGTTTCTGCTTCAAGTCCCACAGTAGGCCTCAAGTAGTTGGTGGAAGGTAAGGCACACTGCTATCAGCACCAGGGGACAGCAAAGGCCTGACAGCAGAGATGACTATAAAACCATCAAGGACCAAAAATGTCTGGGGAGAGCTACAGATCCTCAGAGAAAGATAACTTGTGATTTAACAATGACCGAGACATCAGAAGACAAGGGAACACCACGCAAGGCTAATTGTCGAAGTGACGCCAAAGGAGGACCCGTGGGCTGCTGCAGAGGCACAGGCACAGCTCTTAAAAACACACAGCATCATTTTATATTCGTAAAATACCCACTATTTTCATTATTCAGGTTATAAATAGCAAAAAAATGCTCGATTCTTCTTGGCTGGTAAAGGCACACAAACAATCCTCTACATCAGGACAGTCTATGTTCTAAGTATTGTCTCTCACAAGGAAATATGCCCACAGTGGGAAGTCAGGAGAATCAAAAACAGGGAAGAGAAGGGAAATTTTTTTTTTTTTTTGAGTTGGAGTCTCACTCTGTCACCTAGACTGGAGTGCAATGGCCGCTCCCAGCCACCACAGCCTCAACCTGCTGGGCTCCAGTGATCCTTCCGCCTCAGCCTTCCAAGTAGCTGGAATTATAGGCACACACTACCACACCCGGTTCATTTTGATTTATTGTAGAAATAAGGTCTCACCAAGTTGCCCAGGCGGGTCTCAAACCCACGGGCTCAGGCAATCCACTCACCTCAGCCTCCCAAAGGCGCGGGATTACAGGCTGAGCCACCGAGCCCGGCTGAAGGGAAATTTTTTGAATGGCTTTAAAAGTATTTTGTCCATGGCATTGTCTGATGCGGTCCTCAACTCAAGCAGAGAAAATACTGAAGACCATTATATTACAAACAAAGGAGGGTAAAGGGGCCTAAAGGGAGGTGAGGCTTCCATACTTCAATTCCACCAGCAAAATGTCTACAAGTGAGGACAGAGCAGTCCTGCATGTGGATTGTAGTAATGGTTATACATTCCATACATGTGGTACAATGTCTATTTTCACACTGTACCAAAGCCAATTTTCTGGTTTTGCTTCTGTACTATAGTTATAAGATATTGGGGGAATCTGGGTGAAGTGAGCATACAGGACTTCTCTTTACTATTTCAGCAACTTCCTGTGACTCTCAAATTATTTCAAAACAAAAGGTTTTCTTTTAATGTTTTAATATATTTTGTAAAAACATTTTGTCCAAACAGCTAAAAATCTATTCAATGTGTAAAAGGTAAGTTTTAATTACCTGGAAATACCATGTAAATTCTGTCAAATAAATGCTGGGTATGAGTGGATTCATTCACTTACTACCAGTTCTTCTTCCACTTTTATTTTTAAGCCAAAAATCCTCAATTCAAGATCAAAGACAATGATAAGATGGCAGAACTTAATTCATGAGACCAACATTCTCTTTTCTGGTAGCAACATCTCACGACAGAGTCCACACAGCAGAAATTGATCCAGATGACACGGCTAGACACCCCAAAGAAACCCACGGAAACTTACAAATGTAATCCTTCACAGCTTTCTCAAAGAGGTCGTACACATGCTCTCTGTCCAGGCTGTCCTGGGCCATGCTGATCTCATCGTGCAGCCACTCCAGCCAGAGCTCTACGAGACAATAGCACCCCCGTGTTACCACCTTCCCAAAGGGCAGGCTGAAAACAAACTTCACAGAGAGGCAGCAGCACACAAATATTTCATCCATCTTACACAGTCTGGCGTGGGTCCCAGAAATTCTACTCTTTTTTTCTATAATTTCTGTAAAGATAAAGACTCACTATGTAGCCCAGGCTGATCTCAAACTCCCAGCTTCAGGCAATCCTCTCGCCTTGACCACTCAAAGTGCTGGGACAACAGGCATGAGCCACCACACCCAGTCCCAGGAATTTAGTTCTTAAAACCTGTTATCAAGTACACAGGAGCTTTTATGCTTTCGAGTAAGATCAAATAACTAAAATAATATCCTTCAACTGCTGTACATTTTATATTCTGCAAAGTACTTATGTATATATTTTCTCAATTAGTCTTTATCACAATTCTATAAGGCAAGTAATAGTAACATGAATAACAATGACATCTATCTAAGGATTGACAACATGCCAGGGGCATGTATTCCCATGTTGTATACAGAAGAGTTAACCTCATTCTGTCATATACTACTTACTAGAGAGAAACGACTGTTGTCCTCATTTTGCTGCTTGAAAAACTGAGTCTCAGAATGTTTATATAACTTGCTTAAGGTCACACAGCTAGTGAGACATTTAGCCAGGGATGAATCTGGGCTATCTAATTTCAGCATCTATACTTGGCAGTTGCACTTTGCACAAGGAAGATAAGATGGTCAGGGCTGGACCTAGGACCAAGGTTTTCTAACTCCTTCCCAAAAGACCGCTTATGAATATTAAGAGCTTTAGCTATAAAGTTGTTCAGTGCAATTACTTTTCTAATAGCCAAATAAGCAGAAATAAACTAAGTGCCCAACTACTGTAGAAGAATTAACATGAAAAATTTACATGAAAAACTGTTTATAAAAGTTTATTTATAATATATCTGTAATTTTCTGGTTCCAAGAGAAAAGGTTAAATACATAAATACTGGAATGGGAGCAGAGGTAAAGTCTAATTACATACAAGGATTTTGTCATAATGTTAGAAAAAAAAAAACCAGGATTCCAAACGTGAATCAGTGCTATATGACCACAATTACATTTTGCAAAAAAACTACAAGATAATGCTTTGAATGATGGGCTTTCTTCTTTCCACTACGCTACATGTTCCAAATTTTCTATAAGGAGCACATCCTACATTCTGCCTTGAAAAAATGTACCCATCTCAATTCTCCATGTTTCTAAAAGCAGCCTGACTGCCAAAGCTTACCTTCAGTCAGGGGAAAGATCTCGCTCATCTTCTGACGGGCAATTCTCACCTTGGTAAGCTCCCCTTCCAGCCTGAGCAGCCTAATCAGGTCCACATGGCAGTTGTAGTCATAGACGTTGATAGATAACTAACAGGAAAATAAACAAGTTGAAATCTCAAACGCCATTATCTAAGTAACTTCACTTTTGTCACCACTGGTGACAAAGTACATCTCTGTACATCAAAGTACAGGACATAAATGTGCTATGTGGGAGAACCAATGAACAGCACTGCAACATTTACCCTCAGGAAGAGAAAGACAAAATGAAAGAAGAGGTTTTTATGGTGAACATAAGGCTCTCTCAAATCTATTACAATTCCCATTAGAAGACACTTGGGTTCTCCCTGAAATATAGGACACATTCTAATGAAACAGGTAAACAAAAATTGTGTTACCTTAGGCAATTTATTAACTTTCCTAAGCATCTTCTTCCTCATCTATAAAACAAGGATACTACTAGTTTCCAGCTATCAAGGGTCTTGTGAGGATTTTAAAAGGTAATTTTGTAATGTCCTTCAGTCCCTGCCAAGCCCCTTGTAAGAGCTCTTTCATTTTACTAAACAAAAAAGATGGAAATCCCCACTGGAGAAATAATGGCAGCAGACTGGTAACTGTTGAAGCTGGGTGACAGGTACATAAAGGTTTATTTTTACGTTTCAAACTTTTCACACTAAAAGAAAAAACAAATTTAAATATTCTGAAAGCTAACATGCATTTGAGACAAAGGAAAATTAAAATAATGTCACCAACATGCCTACCCTGGAAGAAATAGCTAAAGGAAATCCTTCAAACAGAAAAGATAACAGAACCTAGAGCATCAGAAAGGAAGAACAAAAGCAGAAACATGGGGACGTGCAGCCAGATGATCCTTCTCCTCTCATGAGGTTTCCAAACTATATGTGATAATGAAACAAACATTTCAACATTTGATACCCAAAACAATAACATTCAAACGCGAGGAGGGAAAATGATGGAAATGGAAGATTTCCACACTTACTCAAGTGGTAAAACACTGATGTCAAGTAAGTGAAATCTGTATATTTTAATACCCAAAGCAAGCAGTAAGAAAACTATTCAAAGCAATATACAGAAGCAAATAAATCAAAATGGAAATCTAACAGATATTCAAACAGGAAGCTAAGAAAAGAGAAGCAAGGCTAGGTTCAGTGGCTCAGTCTATAATCCCAGCATTTTGGGAGGCCAAGGTGAGTGGATTGCCTGAGCCCATGGGTTCGAGACAGTCTGGGCAACTTGGCAAGACCTCGTCTCTACAATAAATAAAAAATTAGCCAGGTGTGGCAGCATACACCTGTAGCTCCGGCTACTTGAAAGGTCGAGGCGGAAGGATCGCCTGAGCCCAGCAGGTCAACGTTGGGGTGGCTGTGAGCGTGCCAATGCCCTCCAGCCTGGACGACAGAGTGAGACTCCAACTCAAAAAAAAAAAGAGAAACAGGAGAATGAGAAACAGACAGCATATAGAAAATTATAAAATAGCAGGCTTGAGACTTAACATATCAATAATTACTTTAAACATAAATGGTCTACAGTTACCAATTAAAAGGGAGAGAATGGTAGAATGGATAAAAAACACAATGATATATGCTGATTATAAGAAACTCACTTTGAATTCAAAGACATAGGTAGGTTGATTGAAAGTAAGAAAAGATATACCATGTAAGCATTAATTAAAAAGACGTCAAAGTGGACATGTTAATATCACATAAACTAGACATCAGAACAAAGAAAATTATGAAACAAATGAGTTATACCACGCAATGATACACAGTGATAAAAGGATCACTCTCCACCAGAAAGACATAACAATTCTAAAAGCATATGAACCAAACAACAGCACCTCCAAGTACATGAAACAAAAACTAATAGAGCTGAAAGAAGAAATACATCAACAATAATACTTGGGGACTTGAACATCCTTCTTTTCAGTAACTGACAGAACTACTAGATACTTGAATATGATTAATCTGATTAAAAACAAGACCAATATAAGAAAGTAGAAGGAAAAAAAATTTTTTTTGAGTTGGGAGTCTCACTCTGTTGCCCAGACTGGAGTATAATGGCATGCTCACAGCTACCCCGTGCCCAGACTGGAAAAAAAATTTTTTAATTTAAAATTTAAAAAGGAAACAAAAAAATTGAATTTTTAAGAATAACTAAACAGAAAATCAGCATGGATGTAGAACTCAACAACACCATCAATAACATGACCTAATGTGCATATATGCAGTACACCCCACCCAACAACACACATCCTAAGCCACAAAATAAACCTCAGGGGCCAGGGCAACGTAGCTCACGCCTATAATCCCAGTACTTTGGGAGGCCAAGGTGAGAGGACTGCCTAAGCCCATGAGTTGAGACCAGATGGGCAACTTGGTGAGATCTCATCTCTACAATAAGTCAAAAAATCAGCCGAGCGTGGTGGCACATGCCTGTAGTTTCTGCTACTTGGAAGCCTGAGGTGGAAGAATCGCCTGACCCCAACAGGTAGAGGCTGCAGTGGCTGTGAGCATGCCACTGCACTGCAGGCTGGATGACAGAGTGAGACTCCTACTCAAAAAAAAAAAACAACCTCAACAAATTTGAAAGAAATGAAATCATACAGAGTATCTTTTCTGACCACAATGGAATCAAATTAGAAACCATTAATAGTAGAAAATCTCTGAACACATGGAAATTAAGTAATACACTTCCTAATAAACTATGGGTCAAAGAGGAAGTCTCCAAGAAAATTTTAAAATACATAGAATTTAATGAAAATGAAATTACAGCAAATCAAAATAAGTAAGGTGCAGCTAAAACAGTACTCTAGAAATAGAAACTTCAAGAACTAAATACGATGTATAAAAAGAATTAAACACCATGACAAAGTGGGATTTATTCCAGATATACAAGGCTAATTCAATATTTGCAAATCAATTACTGTAATCCACTATATCAAAATTTTGGCTAAAGAAGAAAAATCATGGCACCTGTTGATGCAGAAAATCCATTTGACAAAATCCAACAATTCATGATAAAAATGCTCAGCAAGTTAGAAATGGAGGGGAACTACCTAAACCTGATAAAAAGCAGCTATAAAATACCTACAGCTAAGACCATTCTTCATGGTAAGAATGAATGCTGTCCTCCTAAAATCAGGACAAGATGCCTGTTCTTACCACTCTTTTTCAACAAAGTCCTAGAAGTTCTAGTCTGTTCAACCAGACAAGTGATATACAGGCTGAAAAGAAATAAAAACTGTTCTGATTTGTAGATGATATGATTGTCTAAGTAGACAATCCCAAGGAATCAATAAAAAAAAAAAAAACCTTCAACAGTGAGTTGAACAAGGTCACATAATACAAGATAAGCATAACAACAACAACAAAAAAATCATGTGGAAATCAAATCTTAAAACACAATACCATTTATAATCACTCCAAAAAAACCAAAGAAATACTCAAGTGTGCATTTAAAACATTTACAGAATCTGTATGCTGAAAATTATAAAATGCTGAGAAAAGAAATAAAAGACCTGAAAAGGGAGAGACTATTTAGCATTGAAAGACTCAACAGCCAAGAAGTAAATTCTCCCCAAATTGACTTGTAGGTTTAATGAAATTCCAATTAAGACCGCAACAAGGTTTTTTACAGACATAAACAAGCTTATTCTAAAATGTATAGGGATGGCATAGGCCCTAGGATAGCTCAAAATGATCTTGAAAAAGAACAAAGTGGAAGGAAGCACTCAACCTGACACTAAGACCTCCTATATAGCTACAAAGATCAAGACAGCTTGAGTCTGGCAGAAAGACACAGAGATCAACAAAGTAACAACAGGCTGTGACCTTTCAAACAGAGGGGAACAAGGAGCAAGCATTTGCAGAATACAAATATAAAAGATTACAGGGTTTTTAAACAAGAACCCAACAACTTTCTCTATGAATTCTAATAGTAAAAGGCCTTCCTGGCTTCTCAGAGACCCTGGAACAATGTGGAAATTCCTGCCTCTGTGCAAGCCGGGGCATGCTTCTGCTCATCTCTCCAACCGTATCTCAGGCTCTGCCCAGCCCAGCACCACGACCAGCTTCAGTAACTCCCTCGGTAACATTCCACAGTCTCTCCAGCCTCAGGGCTGGGCACCTGCGTGCGGCTCTGTCAGCCCAGAAGCCTCTCTCCCTGGCCTCTCATTCTCACCTTCAGGTATCTTATCAAACCTCACTCCCTTAGTGGGGTCTCAAGGAGCCAGCTACCTGCTGCAAGCTGTTTCCCATCTCATCACCCTATTTATGTCCATCATCACTGAAGGCTCCATGGGCAAGCACCTTGTGTGTCTTACATCTGATCCATAGTTGGAGTCTCTTTTCATACCAGGCACACAGAAGTCAAGAAACCACAGGCCAATCTCACTCAAGAGAACTGATACAGAAATCCTAAATAAAATCTTAAAAGATCAGAAACGCATAAAGAGAATAATACACAATGACCAAGTTAGGTCTATCCCAAGAATGTAAGAGCGGTTTTACCTTAGAAAATCAATTAGTCCCAGCGCAACGGTTCACACCTGTAATCCCAGCACTTTGGGAGGCTGAGGCTAGAGCACAGCATTGCTTGAGCCCAGGAATTTGAGGTTGCAGGAAGGGAGGAAACCAATTAGTATAATTTTCCACACTAGCAGATTTGAGAAAGAAAAATCATCTTAATGAAGAAATATTGCTAAAATGTCTATTCACGATTAAAAATCAACACACTAAGAAAAGAAAAACATTTCCTTAACCTACAAAATCTACTATAAACATGACTCCTAATGATAAAACATTAATAGTCTTTTTAAAAACACCACAAAGAATCCGAGTATCACCTTCTATTTAACCCTGTAGTAGAGGCCTGAGGCTGGAACAATCCTACAAGGGAAAGAAATTCATGACATAAAGAGAGAAAAGGATGAGAACTGTGAATGCAATCTAATCTTCAAACAAATCATAAGAAATAAGGAAATTGGCAATAAAAGCAATGGATAAAAATCAATTACACACAAAAAGACAAATACTATCTGATTCCACTATGAGAGATGTAAAGGGGTCAAA